CAACCGCGAAGCCGAACTGATTCGATATCGAGATCAACAAGGAACCACTGGCAACGGAAGGCGAACTATTATAGTCCGGCTCGAGGTCATATCAGGTCGGCCCCAGAAGGGGTTAAGGGGTTGGGGACCCAGAAAATAATTAAATAAGGCCACTTGTCGATTAATGATTGCCGATAGGACATCCCCGACTAGTCTACAAGACTAGGACGTCTATCTCGGCCAAAGAACGTGTCCGCATTAAATGCAGCCCACACCCGTATTAAATGCGTGGCAGGTAATGATTGGGAAATCCAGATATTACTCCTAATCAGTCAGAGAAAGGCCGGCCCGTCCCGTCGAACTACTATACGACAAGACCAGCGAACAATATACCTGAACAGTGTCACATTTAAGGCTACTATAAATAGCAGCCCACTTCATTTAATTTGGGTTGTTGAATCTCAACTGTCTGAACTCTCTCTATTTTCTCTCTCTAGACTCGTGTAAAAAACTTTGTAAGAATTTGTAAGGATACTGCAAGTGCCGACCTCGTGCGAGAGGCCGACCTCGCAATCGATCAATAAAATCATAATTAAACCATATTTCTTTGTCTTTTCCTCATTACTTTTTTATTACTTACCTTTTTAACCGTTGACCGGAAACGTCCGTCAACACATGTGTTGGGCGTTTTTGTCCCCTTTTGGTGCATCTAACTCCTTTGTCTTACTGTGCATGACCGCTGATAAGAAAGAATTGGTGAAAAGGTTTCTGATTTTGTGTAAAATTTTCAAATTTTATAAATTTGTGGCTATTGAGCTGTTGATTTGTAAGTAATGTTATATGTTTCCAGACTCTACCAAGTTCTCTCATTACTGTATATATGTTTCTTGTGGGTGGATGCTTTTGTGGCAAAAAACGAGAATTTTTGCAGAGAATGCCGGTTTGAGCCCCGTACTACGTTCGATGCAGGTATATTGAATTGTGTAGACAATATTAAACAAAAAGAGTTATTTTTTGTTTTGAGCTCTGTTATGTTCTACTGGTTTATGTTTTACATTTTCTTTCCAACCAAATGTAATACTAAATGAGTGGACTCGCGCTGGTTTTTTGGTTTTGTATTTTCCTACCAGGATTATGCTTGGATTCAAAGCGGAATGATATTTCCTTTCATAGCTTATGTGAATAGGTGATTCATTGTTGGTATATTTTGTTTCTTCTTTGTTTGACCTCTAAATAAATCACTAGGACCATGTGAGTATGGATTGGGATTCTGTTGGTTTAGGTTTCAAGGCAGACTGAACTTAATGATAACAAGCCCTGTGATCTACGTTCTGTATAGAAGAGGCATTTTTGGCGGAAAATGGTTTGTTGAAATGTTGATGGTTGAAATTAATGCGGCGGCTGGGAACTTGAATTATCTGCGTACTCTTATAAGGATACTAACGATAAAAATAAGGTGGATATAATATTGCTCCCTCAAGTTTTCTTGACTCAACTTCTACTTTTGCACTGGAGATTCACCAAGCCTGCACTTCTTCCCTTTGGAAAAAAACATCAATTCTTATTGTTTTTCTAAAGGTTCACTTACTCAAGAAAATTCTTGGTTTTTTTCTCCTCTGTGTACAATATAAGGCTCCGACGGCATCTTTAACTGGCGACATCCATAATCACGACCAACACACAGCCTGTTCAAACAAAAAACATAGCTTGGAATGGGGGCGTTGATTGATGACCAACATATGTGAGGTAATTGGGCTATCTTTAAATCCATCCTTCCAACTTGCAAAATAATTCAAAGCTTGTGTCTATACTTACCATTCTATTGGTCTATTGGGCAAGATCCAAATTCAAAATTCTTAACAGGGATGTTGGATATTTATAGCTTTGAGGGTTTCAAGACAAACAGGTGCTTAACCGATATGCTTAATCTTCTTCGTATTTTGAAACCCTGTTTTTGCTATATTTCAATAATTTCTTATGCTACGCAGTATCTTAATGATGATCATTCTAGCATGACGTTTAATGGAATGGTTTCCTTTCATCTATGCATTACAATTGTACTATTTTTACTTTTCTGTCTTGTATTCTATTTCCAGTTAATTATCTATGGTTGCAACAAATATGAAGTTGTAGCCTTGATGATAAGGTTTTTACTTTAAATGCTTGATGATCATGCTATAGAGTGATTATTCTCATGTTTCTCACACTTTCTCTTGCAGCTTTGAGCAGTTCTGTATAAATTTAACTAATGAGAAACTACAACGACATTTCAATTAGGTGCACATATCATATTCTGGTATATTTATCGTAATAAATGTAGAAGGTTGATATATAAAGACAGAAAGTACAATTTTTCTTTAAGATGGCATGTTGTATTTTCTGGCAGCGTGTTTTCAAGTTACGTGATTAAAGTTACAGCATATTTGTGCCTTGTTTCCAACAGTTTTTGTCTAATATATTTATATCAGGGCACTCAGAAGTCCATAAAAACATGCACGTACGTATGAGATGTTTGTATTAAATTGACTATATATATATATTTTGTAAATTGTATTATGCTGCTGAAATTCAAATAAGATTTATATGTTGTAGATCTGTTTGATGTTTGCAGGTTTGTGGGACACTTCTAAATATTTTTCAGTGAAATAAGTATTGTTTTGTTGGGGTATCCATTTAGGTATGTATTTGGATTTTATGAGCGAAATCCATTTAGCTAGATTATATCCTTGTCATTTATTGTCTTACCTTTAGCAATTCTTTGACAGGGTGCATAAACAAAGTGGACCTTTTCTTAATTTTTTGTTGTATATTATGAATTTCTGTTTGCTCTTACTTTACTTTAAAGTTGCCATTATTTCGGTTAATTGACTTCAACAATGTAGTCGCTTAATTTTTTGATATCACCGGGCTATAATTAAAAAAAAAATATTTACATGCCGCTTTTAGGATTGTAAATTTTACAAAGCATCATTTGTCTAGAAGTTTTAAAGGCAATTTGAAATAGGCGATCATCTTTGTGAATAGCTTTGTATTTAGTATATATTGCACAACAGAATCTGAATTATGTTATGTTTTTTGGACGACAAATTTACAATAGATTGTAGACTAAATTTGAGCCGGCCGTGCGTGCACGGCTGTAAGACAACTAGTATATATATATATATATATATATATATATATATATATATGATGTGGTTCAAATGAGAATCAAGTCTTAGCATGAGAACTGTGAGAACCGCTGTTTTTAATTGTACGTACTGCTATGATTGATTGTGTTTTAGTGCTATTTTTGACATGAATGCATTTTATTAAAAATTGCAACACAATTTATATTNTAAAGTATTTAAACATTATTTCATACCATATAAACGAAATAGATAATAGTTCCATATGTATCCCAACTAATAAAATGAAGAAAAATATATTTTATATATTGAGAAACTTCCATAAATTTTAAAAATAAATATGAAAATAAATTTATAAAAAATATACTGGGCCGGCTGTTGGCTTCAATAATTTAACATGATAATGTTGTTTACAGATTAATGCCAAAAATAATTCTATGGAGCCATAGCGAAATTGCTAATACCAATATCAACCCATATGCCCTCAGGCAAGATAAATTTTTATGTATTGTGTTAAATTCATTTGATTCATTTATTTGGTTTGATTGAATCATAATTACTACTGGTGTTTGCGTTTTGAAATATGTCAACCAACGACATTAATGTTGGTTGTGCTTCACCATATTTCAGTTAAAAAAATAAATTATATGTTCACTTATGCATGCTACAGAATGTAAGCAATTGGATTTTAAACCTTTTACATTTTGTCAGTTTAAAACGATAATTTTAAACATCTATCCTCAGAATAACATTGATATTTAGAAATGGAGTGTTTTGTAGCACTTCTTGTATTCTGTAGTTGGTAATGACTGCTTCAACATGTTTTGACAAACTTAGGTTTGAACCCAAAAAACAAAATGTTGTGCATGTATGATGTATTTTGATAAACAAGCTATTTTACCAAAATAAAACATGCTCACATGCCCACCGTGGGCATGTGAGCATTTCCGAATATTTTATACTCATACTCATAATAATAACTGGTTAAATGTGAGCAACTAAATTGGGTCGGCCGGCACACGGCGTTATCATGCTAGTAATGAATATATAAGTTATTATCAGGTAGTTTAAATATTTGAATGTTTTAAATAGACTTAATATTTAATTAACAATGTTTTAGACATAAATTTTATTATATAAAATATTATATATATTTAAAAATGTTAATAAATTAAATATTTGTCCAACAGGTTCAACCATTGGTCTGACCAATAAGCCATTGAACCAATAACTTAAATTGTTCGATGACCGGTCCAGTTTTGAGAACTTGTAAAAACGCAATCCAATCTGTTCCGTTGGCTCATGGCTAGGGCTGCAAACGAGCCAAGCCGAGTCGAACAGTGGCCTTATCGAGCAGGATTGATTATTTTTTTTAAGCTGCTCGAGCTCGCGAGCTCGATTCGACAAACAAATACGAGCTCGAGCTCGACTCGATTTCATAATGCTTGAGCTCGGCTCGAGTTTGGTTTGAAAATTTTTAAGTAAATTTGTAAAATTACCATTAAGTACATATATTAATATTACGATGCATATATATAAGGGTATTTTTGTAATTTAACATAATCTCGAGCTGCTCGCGAGCCGCTCGACAAGGTAAAATTTGAGCTCGAGCTCGACTCGAGTTCGGTCAAACTCGAGCTCGAGCCGAGCTTTGACTCGAGGGCTCGTGAGCGGCTCGCGAGCTGCTCGGTTCGTGTGCACTCCTACTCATGGTTGGACATGTCGACCCGAATCGATTTCAGGGGCAATTTGGGAGCTCGACTCGAGTTCGTGCTCAAGCTGCTCGAGCTCGGCTCGAGTTCGGTCAAACTAGAGCTCGAGCCGAGCTTTGACTCGAGTGCTCGCGAGCGGCTCGCGAGCTGTTCGGTTCGTGTGCAGTCCTACTCATGGTTGGACATGTCAACCCGAGGGGCAATTTGGTCATGTAAGCGTCAAATTTATGAAGCGCGGGAAACGAATTGCTGGACCCTCGTATCGCCTATCTTTCTTGTTTCGCCACTGCCGCTTTTAGTTCATCTCTCTACAAATCCTGAAACCCACTGCAATTCACTTGCTTTTCCCCTCAATTCGCTCTACACAAATTTTAAATACACGGTCGAAAAGATGAACGGCGGCGATTACCGAAGGAGAGACCGTAGGGACACTCGAATTTCGAAGAAGCAGAAGCTGATACTGAACGCGGAGGAGCAGCTTGAGTCCAAGCTCGGATTCGATCTCTTCACCGAGGGAGATAAACGGCTCGGCTGGTTGCTGACGTTTGCCTCTGTGAGTTTATATCTATCTCTCTCTCCCTCTCTCAATTTACTCCCCATCTATCCAATTTACTTGAAGACAACTGATTTGATTTTTTTTNTTGACGTGATAGTCTTCGTGGGAAGATAGGGAGACTCATAAAGTGTACAGTTGTGTTGATTTGTATTTTGTATGCCAGGTATTGGTTCCCCGAGCATGTTTTTCATGTGTTTTCATTTGATTGAATTGCGTTAGTTTGTTGATTTATATTCTTTTAAATGCTAATATTGAAGGATGGTTCAACGTTCAAGGCGAAGTATAAGTTCCGGCCATATTTTTATGCCGCCACAAAGGTAAGCAAAAGGGCAGTCTTGATAGCTATAAATAAGATTTGAGCTTTGTCAGTGGAATTTCTCTCCGTAACTATTTGATGATGGGCTTCTACATACTATGGTTATAGAACAAAATGGAAATGGATGTTGAGGCGTATTTGAGAAGGCGCTATGAAGGCCAAGTTGCAGACATTGAGGTTGTGGAGAAAGAAGATCTTGATCTTGTAAGCAGTCTAATCTTCAGTACATTTTGCAGAGAGTCTGAGGCAAAAGATGATTATTTTTTTTCAAGAAATATAGATAACTTGTTTCTGAGAACGGAAGCTGCACGAGCAGAATTCTTAGTAGGAGACAGACAACTTTTATGCCCTAACAGCAGTGAAAGCTGGAGACGGCGTTAATTTGAAATGCAATAAGGATATTTTTCAATTTTGTCTATTTGTTTTTTTTTTTTTTTTTTTGNTCATTTCTTTCATGCCTAGATGTTGAGTATTAAAGTTCTGAACTTGATATACTTTCCATTTTGTCACAGAAAAACCACTTGTCTGGTTTGCACAAATGCTATTTGAAGATATCTTTTGATACTGTCCAACAACTGATGCAAGTGAGGAATGATCTTATTCAAGTTGTTGAGAAAAACCAGGGGAAAATGAATGCTGAGGATGCATATGAATCCATATTGACAGGAAAAAGGTACTTCCTTTTTTCTTTTTTGCTGGACAGGTTTCTTTCAAAGAAACTTAGAGAAATCTTGAGTATGATGATAAAACAAATATTTGTAGTGATAGAGAAAACATATTCCTTTATTTTTAGTTCACTTTAAATCTCGGCCCTCCTTTCAGTTATTGATGTTCATTATTTTTTATATACTGCTGACTTTTGTCAAGCTACGACCATGAACTTTTTCTGATACTGATAATCTTCTGATTGGCAGCAAACAACGACCTCAGGATTTCATCGACTGCATCAACGATCTTCGTGAATTTGATGTACCTTATCATGTTCGCTTTGCCATTGACAATGGTGAATTGTCTGTTCGCACTTCAGAAATCTAGTTTCTGATTACCCCTCTTGATTTCTGAACGACAAATATGTTTTATCGGTCTCATTCTGAGTTTTCATGATTCAGATATACGATGTGGGCAGTGGTATGACGTAAGTGTATCCAGTGCTGGGATTGCAGTAGAAAGGAGAACAGATCTGTTGCAACGTGCAGAAGTTCATGTCTGTGCTTTTGATATTGAGACCACAAAGCTTCCTTTAAAATTCCCTGATGCTGAATATGATTCAATCATGATGATTTCTTACATGGTTGATGGTCAAGGATACCTCATCATTAATAGAGAGGTAACAAGTACAGACCAGAGCTTATATTTGATTCTAACACTGGAAATATTGGAGATTATTGGCATTAGTTCTACTCATTTACATATTGTTTTTAGTAAAGAATCTGTGACAATGTTCATTTTATTTTTGTTATGTTTTTCATTATTCTGAATAGTAAATGTCACTTTTACTGGAGTTTAAAGAGGGTTGGGGTGGGGAAATATGTGGGGGTGAGAAGATGTGGGAGTTATAAACAAATAACTGAAAGAAGGTGTGGTGGTTTCTTAAAGAAAAACCCAATATGTCCCTATATATAGGTGAGGCCGCTTATCTAAGGCACCTTTCAAAATTTTAATGGCAGAATATACATCAATTTGTTTTCTATTAGATAGATCAGTCGATGGTACACTTTTTTTAATTGATGTTACATCTCAAATATTGTGTGAAAGCACCTAAATAATTGGTAACGGACTAGTTTTGTTGAACCTTGCAGTGTGTTGGGGAGGATATAGAGGATTTGGAGTACACTCCCAAACCCGAATTTGAAGGGTGTTTCAAAGTGAAAAACGTGAAGGACGAGGTAATAAATTTTCATATAATGTATATTCAAGTTTATTTGCTATTAAGAGTTTTATTGTGTCGTTGCTTTATGATTGTGACATTTATCACAGAAAGAACTTCTTAGACTGTGGTTTACACATATGCAAGACGTAAGACCTGGTATATATGTTACATACAACGGCGATTATTTTGACTGGCCATTCATGGAAACCAGAGCAGCACATCATGGTTACAACCTGAACGAAGTAAGTACGCTTCCAATTTTGACCATAAGCTATTTTCAGTGGAAGTTCTGATCCCATTGTGCTACTCGATAGTTTCTGTAAATTATTTCTTTCACAAAATTGATCACTCATTGAATAAAGTGGAAATTTCTGAGTCTTGAAACTTAACTATGTAATTGTGATTCTTAAATCTTAAAAGATTCTTAGGTTGCATATATTAGACGGTGTTGGTATTAGCCGTGCTTGCATATTCCACGGTGTTTCATTTTGAAGTCTCAATTGATGCTTGCTTAATGACACTCTCTCTGTCGCAGTCCTTCCTATCAATTATTTGCATGAAATTCTAAACTGTACCCTCTGAATCTAGGAGCTTGGATTTCGATGTGACAAAAATCAAGGTGAATGTCGTGCCAAATTTGCTTGCCACTTGGATTGTTTCGCTTGGGTTAAACGTGATAGTTATCTTCCTCAAGGAAGCCATGGTTTAAAGGTGCAATTTTTTCTTTTTTAACTTCAGATTGAGATTTCAGCCTTTTACATTTGGGTAACTTCAAAATTTATGGTTGTGTTTCTATTTGTCCTCTCTTTTTGAACCTTTTAAGTTGATAACTTTTGACAGCTTTCCTGCTGCTTGATTATTTGATTGTGTTGCTCTCCCGATTTCACATTGCAAAAGCATTAAGATTCCAGATGTTAAAATTCAGCCCATAATAGACAAATTACAGCAGAAAAGTTTGCATATATACATGGTCTCTATTACTGATTGAGCCAACGATTGATTCCCCACCCCTCACCACCCAAAAACATCAACCATTCTTCTATGTAATCCTTTTCTTTTTCCCAACTAAGAATTTCAAAATCATCTACTCATTACTGTGCTTGTTATTCGACATATACCCTTCAATTGCATATATTCATTTCAATTACTTTTAGACATGCAAATGTAAATCATTCGATCAATGGTGAAACTCTATACCTATACATCTGTATATACACTTTGTAATCATCACATGATGCGTATCTTTTATATTTTAGATTTTAGCATAAAATAATGACCCCGACACTGCTAACTAGCTAAAGTTAATGAACCAACTTATTTATAGTAGAAAATGAACTTCAATTAACCTTTTACACATTACATTTGAATTTTGAAGCTGCAAAAAATGCCCACTACATATTCTTAACTAACTTCCCCTTAGACGTACCATGCATTGCCTTATTTTATAGATAGAAAACAAGAAGAATTTCAATACTAATATGGTACTAAGATATGGTTAGTATGGGATGAAACATTTTTAATATCCTTTGCATATAGATTAGTTGATCGATTTTTTTGGGGTATGATCAGTGTTTTAGAAGTCGCTAGGCTCTCAACCAGCGCCTAGCGCCTAGGCGGCGCATAGAAATTAAGACATTATTTTTATTTATTTTTACTACATATAAAAGTACGTCAACTTATAATAAACCCACACACCTAAGTCTAAATAATAATATTAATATATTATAAATAAAACATGATAACAATATAAAGTAATTAGTATTTCAAAAAAATATAAAAAATTGAAAAATTGCTGCCAAGGCCACCTAGGAGGGCCTAGGCCCGCCTGGACCCGCCTGGACCCGCCTAGGCACCGCCTAGCCGCCGAGCCCGCCGAGGAGCGCCTAGGCCCGCCTAACCGCCTAGCTGATTTTTTCAGCCGATTTGTGCAAATCGGAGGTGGTTGGGCAGCGCCTAGCTCCTAGGCAACCGCCTAGGCCGATTTTTAGGACAATGGGTATGATACAATGAGAAATTGGCTTTCTGCTTTTGTTCAAATTTAGCACGGCGTTTTGTCAAAAATCCGCCACCCCATACTGCCATGGCTGCCATTTGATTAAACTCATTCCAACTTAATGAAAGTGCAAGGTAATAGACAACTCACTTTGCATTTGCGTGAAAGAAAGCCTGAATTGATTTCACAGATTGTAGTTTTATGTGTAGTCCTGTCTATGAAAAATGCTGTGCTGTTTAGGACATTATATTCCAACTCTTTTATGATATAAAGGCTTTTATTATGATACATATACAGTCATGGAGTTCAAATTTCTGTTACCCATTTTGTGATTTGACAGTTCAATGGTTCTGCTCATCTGCAGTTGTAATTTGTTTTGTTCTTCTCATTTCCTGTATGCTTATCTGTTATCATTGTATTTCAGGCTGTGACAAAAGCCAAATTGGGTTATGATCCATTGGAAGTCAATCCGGAGGATATGGTTCGTTTTGCAAAAGAAAAGCCCCAGGTTGGTCTATTTGACAGTGATGGTCAAGAACAGCAATTGATACTTGAGCGATCCTAATATATTAGAAGTGCTTCAGTAGCTGTAGGGAGGAAAATTTGCATATTACTTTATCACACTGAACTTGGAAATTGGGAACTTTGGCTTTAAGGTTAGTTGTAAGATCTAATCCAACTTTTGGCTTCAGAAGGAAAAGAAATGAGCAATCAGCTTATGAACAAATTTAACAATAGTAGATATAATCTCATATGGCTTGATGCTGGTTTCTAGTAATGATTTTTTATACGTCATTCCATCCAGCAAAGGAAGTTTCTGCAATATCTGTCATTCCTAGAAAGTTTATGATTTAAATATTTAGGAATACAGTGAAGTTATGCAGAAATTGACACTTTTGAAATTCATGTTTATTAGTCTTGTAATAAGTAAGATGCCAAATATGGGCCCGTTTATGTCGCGGGAGTTTACATTATGCAAGACATGACGAAACATTCTTCTATGCTTGGAAGCACTTGAAAAACTTAGGGGTTTTATGTTCATTGACTCTTAAGATTATTAATTCAAGAAGACTGCTTGGTGAAATTGTTTAACTGTGATGTTTGAGGACTATAAATATTTTCTTTTCCTTATTAAAATTTTGAAGAGAAGAAATAGAAAATTGTGTCATAGAATTGTGGATAAGCTACAAAAAGGGCACATTTAAGGATGCAAAGGATCCTTACAAAGATACTCATTTCGTAGGAGACATGTCAATAGAACGAATCAATGGAGTTCTGCAAAATTATGAGAAAAAAAAAGTAGGAATCATGTGCTTTATAGTTGAAATTTTGGAGATTATGTAGTTTCCATTGACAGTATTATCTTCATGTTGACCATTTCAGAATGTTCCTGCAGTCCGACAATCAGTATACTTCCACTAAATTTCAAGTTTTCTATACATTGTTATCACTTTTCAGATGATGGCATCTTACTCTGTTTCTGATGCTGTTTCAACTTATTACCTCTATATGACTTATGTGCACCCCTTCATATTCTCTCTCGCTACCATAATACCAATGCCACCTGATGAGGTCTTACGGAAAGGAAGTGGGACACTCTGTGAAATGCTTCTTATGGTCCAGGTGAATAATGCTTTTATGATGAAACTTCTTGAATAGTCCCCATCTCCCAAAACCATATGACAATTTAAGCATACATTGGTTATTGATGTTTTTGCTAATTTTTCTTCTTTCTCACTTAGTGGCTTTACACTTCTAATTAATGTCTTCTGAAGCACATAGCTGATCCCATCTTTTGTGAAGTAACAAGAGCAAAAAGAAAAGGAGACAAAGAGCAGTTCAAGCTCCCCGAGTTCTTAGATATTTGCTGTATCTTTATAATTGTTACCACAATTTTCTCTTTTATGATGCATGCAGGCATATAAGGCAAATGTAGTCTGCCCTAATAAACATCAATCTGACCCAGAGAAGTTCTACAATAATCAACTTCTTGAGAGTGAGACATACATTGGTGGCCATGTGGAATGCCTGGAAAGTGGGGTTTTCAGATCTGATTTGCCGACAAGTTTTAAGCTTGATCCAACTGCTTATGAGGTTAGCTATCTCAGATCCTCTTTAATGGGATATCCACTTCATTTCATGACTAAGCCTCGTCATTATAATTCTATGATAAAATGTTGGTGTCATTGTTAGTGAATCCAGTTCAAGATATGGGCAAGTTACCCAGTCTAGATATTCAGTGGCTGTCTGCAGTCATTCTTTTGGAATTCTGAACTTCATGATAATTTTTTTCTGGATATTTTTGTTTAAAATAAATTGTACCCACTGTGAAATCCTTAGGGATATATCATAATGAACTTTGAATATTTCATTCTTTCAGCTACTTCTTGATAACCTTGACCGTGACCTTCAATATGCTATAAGAGTGGAGGGAAAGATGGACCTGGAATCAGTTGCAAATTACGACGAAATAAAGAATGCCATCAAGGAAAAGGTACAGTAACCTTTATGTGAAACCTGCTTCTCATTATACTCTGTGTGTGGAGAAGTGATCCCATAAGAGTTTGTTTTGTTTCATCTTTTGTGTAAATTCTTAATGGAAAATACAACTGTTTTTCTTATTGTCAGGATATTTTATTTACTGGGTGAAAATGTGGTCAAATGGCAGTTACACTGTAATTAGTTTGCAAAAGATCAGGTTGTAAATAGTTTAGCATAAGTAATGGGCTGATTAGTTTGTACTTAAGCTGCATATGTACAAGAAATGTCAACAGGAGAACACAGTTTTAAAGCTCAAATATTCTTTTGTTCAAAGATTTACAAATATTTCTTTTCATTCATGCTAGGATTTTAAACTTCCATATGCTACAAACTTAGCATTATGCAGAAGACTTTTGCATGTATTGATGCTAATATTGCAAGCTGAGCGGTCCTTTGTGTATGTGTGTCTTACATTTACCTACGTTCTTATGACATGCATTACATATTTTCCATTCATGCATCTGTGTGAGTGAGTGAGTGAGTGCAACAAATTGCTAGGATGTGTCAAGCTGCCACGTAACCTGTAAATGTATATTTTCTTCTGCCCTTCGATATGCAGCTGGTCAAATTGCACGATGAGCCCATTCGTGAAGAAGTCCCTCTTATATATCATCTTGATGTTGCTGCTATGTATCCAAACATAATTTTGACTAACAGACTTCAGGTAATCAAGTGAGCATACTTTATCTAGCAATTTTTGTTATTGAGAATCTTACTTGGACAATATTGTGTCTACGCACGGGAGAAAGTAAGCATAGACATTTTAGAAACCAAGATTTGATACTGTAATTGGAATACGATTCTCATTCTACTTGGTCTCTGTTCTATAATTGTTATAAACATAACATCATATCAGCAATCAATGAGCTCTAATGTATGGAGCAAGTAACATAAAGCTGGAAAAGTCATGACTTTGAATCCACTTTTTTATTTGGAAGTCAAGAGGCTTGTGTTTCGACTAGTGCTTTTAGTGACAGACAAATGAGCGATCTGTATAAGTTACCAATGTTTTATTTTTCTCTAGACAAACTGATTCTTAATAATTTCAGACCACGATATCTGATTTGAATTAAATTGAAAAGCTGGACAGCAACGGGGAACTTTCTCTTATATTTATAAGTACTTGCATGAATATTTAATGGTTACATTTGAATAGTATACTTAGGCTAACACGTTACAAAAATATTGTATGAAAATTTACTTATAAATCAATACAGTAGCTTGGAAATACTTTGCAATTCACTATAGTTTCTTCTCTCAATTTATAGCCACCCTCAATAGTCACGGATGAGATATGCACTGCATGTGATTTTAACCGTCCAGGCAAAAATTGCCTTAGGAAGCTTGAATGGGTTTGGCGTGGAGAAACATACATGGCAAAGAGAAGGTTTTGTTTTATGGTTCTCAATTTCTTTCAGAGAATTCTATCCTAAATGACTACATGTATGTATAGCAACTTATTTGGACTATTTTGTAACAGTGATTACTATCATCTGAAGAGGCAAATTGAGTCTGAGCTTGTCGATAGCAAAAATATGCAATTGTATAACACTTTCCTTGATCTTCCTAAAGCAGACCAGCAATTGAAACTCAAAGAGCGTCTAAAGAAATACTGTCAAAAGGTGCATTTTTTTTATCTGTTTTTGAAGTTATGTTTGTCCAACATCTATTGGTTATTGGGTTGTTATTTGTGTATAAGTATCGGTTAGACACCCTCTCCCTTTATGCTAGTTTCTTACTCATCTACCTAGGCCAATTGGTATCAGAACACTAAGTTTGTTTGTTTGGATACAATGTTGGGTTTGGACCTGATAACGCAATGCGTGAGGGTGGGTGTTAGAAGTTGTTTTTGTCCCACATCGATTAGTTGTTGGGCTGTTACAGTGTATAAGTGACTTGGCACCCTCTCTCTTTGAGCTAGCTTTTGGGGATGAGTTCAATCCATGCCCATTTATCAATTTGCATATTTTACTTGAAATAAAGCAAATGTCAATTTATGCCACCGTTAATTTTCAGGCATACAAAAGAGTACTCAATAAACCTATCACTGAACTTCGAGAAGCAGGGATTTGCATGCGTGAAAACCCATTTTATGTTGACACTGTCCGGAGGTAGGCATCTATAATAGTATAATTTTCTGTTATTATATCTTTCAAATCTTTTTATTGGTATTGAACTCTAGCTTTCAAGAGCAAAGTCATGTATTTACTAATTAGAAGGTCAAAGCTTATGTTATTATTTATTCTTTTTTTTTTTGCCTATAGTTTTCGAGATAGAAGGTATGAATACAAGGGGCTGAATAAAGTGTGGAAGGGCAAACTCTCTGACGCGAAGGCTAGCGGGAACTCTATTAAAATCCAGGAAGCCCAAGTATTATATACTCTCTATGACCAGTTGTCCTTAATTTGCTATCAAAATGAAAATAACAATAGGGAACCTATATTTCCAGGACATGGTGGTGCTGTATGATTCATTGCAACTTGCCCACAAGTGCATTCTCAACTCCTTCTACGGATATGTTATGCGCAAGTATGCTCCCCGATTTCCATTAGTTTATAGTCCTTTTGACCTTGTATATCCTTTTGGCTTCCATATTTATTAGTTCATTTGGTCCTCCCAGAGGTGCAAGATGGTATTCCATGGAAATGGCTGGAGTTGTCACGTATACTGGAGCAAAAATAATCCAGAATGCTCGCTTGTTGGTTGAAAGAATTGGCAGGCCTCTGGAGTTAGACACTGATGGTATTTGGTGCGCGCTACCAGGCTCATTCCCAGAGAATTTCACATTTAAGACAAAGTAAACATTTAGTACTCGAATTCATCATCACATTTTTGCTTTATTAACAAAAGCATGACCTGATTCTTTACTCTAGAAGATCGATTGAATTTGTTGAGGGTCATATTTGAATAGTTCCTAACTGAAGGTGTGCTTAGGTGAACTTAATTTTGTCTTCAGCATGTTGTTTTAAGAGACGCTGATTGTCTTTTATGGAACATATATATCAGAGATTCGACAAGGAAGTTCACGATATCATATCCTTGTGTCATGCTTAATGTTGATGTGGCTAGAAACAATACCAATGATCAGTACCAGGTCAGAAGACTAATCAATTTCTGTTTCCCCGAGTTTTTTAATTATACATTCAGAAGCCATTTTGTTTGTAATTTAAGCTTCTCTGTCAGATTTAAAAATCCATTCAAATGCGAATTTAAAGGCCACGTGCTGTTTCTTGCAGACACTTAAAGATCCTTTCAGTAAGACATATACAACGCATAGCGAATGCTCGATTGAGTTTGAGGTGGATGGACCGTATAAGGTGATGCAGATTAATCACATGAGACCAACCCATGGGTGGTCAATTGATTACTTATTTTCTGATTTGTTGGTTCTGTTGAATTATTCTCAGAGGTGTTTATGGTATAGGCAATGATTATACCTGCATCCAAGGAGGAAGGGATTTTGATCAAGAAACGGTATGCAGTTTTCAATGATGATGGTACCCTTGCTGAACTGAAAGGTTTTGAGATCAAGCGTAGAGGTGAGCTAAAGCTCATCAAAGTTTTCCAGGTATTGTCTCGATTCTGTGACTGTCCCATGGTTCAACGATTGTGAAGTACCATTGTTCTTTTTTTTTTTTTCCCCACATTATGCATATTGAAACTTTATGATTAAGTTTCTCTATTCCATTCTTCGATGCATTCTCATTAACCTATGATAAGTTGTTTACATTGGATCTAATCACTTAGTATAGCCTCTGGTTTAAAGGTACCCTTTTCTTCACTGACAGAGCTATCAGTGTTTGATAGAGAAGGATTTTTTTCTCCTGCTCAAGGATTTGCTTTAGAAATTAACTGAATGACTTTTTTGTTTCAGGCTGAGCTATTCGATAAATTTCTTCATGGGTCGACATTGGAGGAGTGCTATTCAGCTGTTGCTTCTGTTGCAAATCGCTGGCTTGATCTTCTCGATGTACGTTACTGCGTTTGATATATTCAACACACAAAAATACGCAAGAAAGTTGTCATTTATCAGCAATGTTCATTGTTGTTTTTTCTTCGCATGTGTTGCCAAATTGATATACAGTATCCGGGATACTAGTGTTCTTTTATAATTTTGTAAAATCTGTTAATTTTTGTTATTTAATAGGATAAATCTCCATTTCTTTTATAATTTCAGAATCAGGGTGAAGACATTGCAGATAGTGAATTACTTGATTATATATCAGAATCTAGCACAATGAGCAAGTCCTTAGTGGATTATGGTGAACAAAAGTCATGTGCAGTGACCACAGCTAAACGCTTAGCTGACTTCCTTGGGCATGCAATGGTTAAAGACAAGGGATTGCACTGTCAGTATATAGTTGCATGTGAACCGAAGGTAGGAATTCGTGTTCAGTGTGGTGAGTGAAAGGTTTTAGTTTCTTATCTCAGTCTCAATACTTAATTCTGAAATGAAAATAGCCCTCAATAGTGTGATAGATGGTTTAATTATGTGCAAGGGAAATGTAAAAAAATTAGTCTCTATTGATGTTTTCTCAGTTGTTGTTCAATGATTTAGCATATTATTTTCTGGGAAGATCTATTGTAAAGAAGAAATGATTTAGATGCGAGCAAGAGTGTGTATCTTTGTTAGGATCACATTCAGCTCTTCGAGTTACATTTCTTAGATGAAGAACTGGGGAGACATGCATCTTGAGGGACTGCACACGTGCCTTTTGTCGTTTGCTGGCAGATGGAATTTCGCTTATATTTTTATTTGATAAGTTCATGCATACGCTTCTGTTGATTTTGAAAAAGAACTTAAATTAACACTTTAACTTTTTGAAGTATTTTTTACAAAAGACTGTCGGTAGTAGAAACTTCGTTGAGGATATCATTAAGTTCTTCTACTATCAGATATTTTTACGGATTTAAGGTCATTGACATGATACATTGATCAGGGAACACCGGTAAGTGAGCGTGCTGTTCCTGTTGCAATTTTTGAGACTGAACCTGGTACATTTCTTGATCCCTTTGTTTTCTGGTTATCAAAATTGCTACGTAATAAAGTACTTATGCTGGTATGGAAACTGACTCGCAGAAATTATGAAGTTTTATGTGAAAAAATGGTGCAAAGTCTCATCAGATGTTGGTATCCGATCAATTATTGATTGGTCATACTACAAACAAAGGCTCAGTTCTGCTATTCAAAAAATTATCACCATTCCTGCTGCTATGCAAAAGGTAGATATAATGTTTGATTCCGTTGAGTAGGATATTTGCTTTTTTTTCTTTCTCTTTTTCTGTTGTGTGATTTCTTAAGTGGAATGTTTGTTAGGTTTCGAATCCTGTCCCGAGGGTGGTTCATCCTGATTGGCTACACAGGAAAGTCCGTGAGAAAGAGGACAAGTTTCGTCAACGGAAATTGGTTGACATATTCAGTCGACAAAAGAGAGATTTTGCTGCAAGAGAGAGTGGTGATCCTAACATCAGTGATCATGATGTAGCGAATGAACTTAATGTGCCCGACATGGAAGACTTTAGGAACACTGGAAACACTCTTCCTGCTAAGCCTCAACCTATTGTTCGTTCTTATGGGATCAATTATGAACAGCATCAAATCAAAACGAGTAATCTAAGAGAAAGTGCAAAGTTGAGTGATAAAGATGAAAGTGGACATAAGCTTTCAACCAATCCACTGCAAGAGGCTTCCGACGAAAGAATTGACAGAAATGTAGATTATCGAGGATGGCTGGAGTTAAGGAAGAGAAAGTGGAAAGAGATTCGGGAGAAAAGGAAACGTCAAAGGTAGTGTTTTCAAAACTATCTTTAATATGTATCACATATATATTGATGCACACTCACACACATATATATTGATATAGATAGATGCACACTCACACACACATATATATATATATGGGGGGAGAGCAGCTACTTGCTTCCTGCAAAGTTGTTGACGTCTGTTAGAAGTTAGAATGACAATCAAATGATACTTATTGGGAATGATAAGTTGATGCTTCTGTAATCCAAATTTCCAATATGTATTTTGTTCGTTTTAGGGTTGCAAATCATTATGAACTCACTGACTGCTGTTTTGATGTTCAATTTTGTTGATTCACATGAATATGGTATTTTATCAGGTTAGATAACTATAGGACTTCAAATGATGGTAGTGAGGTGCCCAGCAGAATACTCAATTTCAAGCAGGCTGAAGGCAGAGTTGGGGTGAATTCCTATTTTCAGAGGCATGAGTTAGCTGTTACACGCTGTCATTGGCAGGTAATGCGGTTTTTGAATAAAAATATATATATTTTTTCCTTTTATTGCTTTTCTTACGTTTTGACATGCTTAATTTCTGCATCTGCTACATGTTTCTTGAATCAGAGCTGATGTAATTTTTTGTTTTACCAGATTATTCAGTTTGTACCAAGTTCAATGCATGGCCAATTTTTTGCTTGGGTAGTTGTAGACGGAACAATGCGTAAGATTCCCGTACAAGTCTCCAGACTATTTTACCTCAATTCAAAAGCCCCTGTGACTGAAGAGTTTCCTGGAAGGCGTGTGAACAAGATTCTTCCTCATGGCCACAAAAACTACAATCTGATTGAGGTACACCATCTAGAAATTGGGGGAATAATGTTCCCACTTAAATGGATCAGAATTATGTAGTGATTGGTATAATAATTTGACATTCTTTGTCTTTATAGGTTACAATTGATGAAGACCAATTCAGAGCTGAAAGCAAGAAATTAGCAGCTCACCTTGCGGATCCTGAAGTTGAGGTATTCTTTCCCATGCAACCTAAGATATTTGCCTTGCAGTCACTCTGAGAAGCTTCTTCATATATCTTACGTACACCATTCTACTCACTTGTATTTTCCCATGGTAGTGTAAAGGTTATCCATCTTGTATCCTGCCTTCAGGATCTTGATACTGCATTACACATCAGCTTCCAAAAAGTATCTTGTCATTGTTCTGAAATGATTAATCAATACACAACATAGGCCTCTTAATGTATCCACCTTACAAATTGGCTAAACCAAGCTTTTTTAATATAATGTTCTTGCCATCTAGGTTTTTATCGTACATAACTTTAAGTAACATATATATCCACTCACAAAAAAATTTTGATTATTCACAAACTTAACCGGGTGAACAACTTTTGCAGGGAATATATGAAACGCAGATCCCGCTCGAGTTCAATGCTATCCTGCAGATTGGTTGTGTCTGTAAAGTGGATAAGTCTGCCAAAAAAAGAAATGTCCAAGATGGCTGGAGTTTGGATGAATTGCATATGAAAACAACTACAGAGTGCTCGTATCTGGAAAATTCGATGTCTTTCTTCTACTTGTATCATAGGTAACTTTGATTGCAAAAAATAAATTGTTTGCCCCAATTTAAGGTGACGAAGTGGCTATAGTTTGGTCTGTTAGCTTCTCTAAGATCTGATTGTTGCATGGTGTTTGGGCCACTGTTAATAGCATCTTGAACGAAATATATATCTTCGTGTTTATTGGCATTTGTCAGAACTGAAGCTTACTCGGGGTTAAATTTAGGGTTCTATTGATTAACTTGCCATTGCCACGTAGTGGCAGAAAGAGCTTGTATGAAATAGTATGTGGTCTGAATCTTACTCAGTATATTTTTCTTCTCAATTAACGTGGGTTGGAGACTTTCATCACCCCTCCCCCTCCTTTTGTATTTTTTAACTTTCTTTCCTGAAGTGCAATTGTGTTGTGAGACTCCATGTATACTTTTGGTTTTGACATTCTTTGTTTTTGCAGCATATCTGATTCCCGAGCTATGTTTGTTGCATATTTTCCTACATCGAGCCAAGTGTATGTTGTGGTTGTTAGCCCCTTCCCAAGTAAAGAATTATCACCTCAAATGCTAGAAAGACAATTCCGTGAAGCTAGCCAAGCATTATCTATTCAGCCCTCCATGACAAATGAAGGCATGACATTCAAGGTAATTTGTTTTGCATTGGGACTAATGTTTCTCTTTTATATCAATCAATCAATCAACAAACCGTTAAAATCCCACTAAGTGGGGTCGGCTATATGGATCACATGTTGCCATCGTGCTCGATCAAAACACATATCCTTCTCTTTTATATAATGATGCTAATGCTAATTTATGTTTTTTACTGAATTTGCTTCTTGTAAGGTTGAATATGTGGCACATTTCAAGGATGCTCAAGGAAACTTGCAGAGGATGATAACCGAATACAGGTTACTCTGTCTGTTCTTTATAATCACGCTGTCAATATCGTGTGAGTACTTAAGAGTTCTGTAGTTGAACCTATTATACCCAAACAAGATCATTCACAGAAGACCGTGGGTAGATAACGTCGCATATCTGCTTTTTGAACTGCTGCCTCTTTTAAGTTGTAAGATCAATTATCAAGACTGAAAATAACTGGTCCGAAAAGCAAGATTTTCTGACAAATGCTTAAAAACCCACAATTTATTCATATGCAACTCCTGAATTTGTTTTCACTTTGATCAATTTCACTGGTAGGTGTAGGATGCGAGGATATTTAATTATGATTAAGGTATGAAGTGGAATATGTTGTTAAATAGCCTACATAACTAGAACAATTGGAGTCATAATAAATAAATCTGAAATTTTATAAGAAAAATTTATAAGTAAACTGTTAAAGTAGTGATCATCATCTTCCTCGAAATCCCATAGCAAGACACTATAACACTAATGGATGGGAAAACTGGTAAATAAAGGGAAAACGGGGGAAGAGTGTCATAATTCGGGCCAGCGTAGTCTGTTGAGCTGGTTGGCCCATGTTTTATCCCATTTATACTCATAACCATCAGGGGTTATTGGGAGTTGGGATGCATCATTTGAAGTGAATTATAAATTAGTGAGGTTTGAAATCTAATTTGTCAGTGCTGACTGTAGATATCACACGAGAATAGTCACTCTTAAGTAGTAAACATCAATTAATTCAATGATAAGTGTGTGGTCCAAAGAACTGAACAGATTTTGTTCCTAAATGTAGTCCCACTTAAGTTTAAGAGACACAGGACTTGTGAATACAAACATTAACCATGCTTGATGAGGGAGCATACTGCTTAAATGTCTGCTTCGAACTCTTACAAATTATTTTGATTCTTCAAAATCCTGCAATCAATGGACTAGACAGGACTTAAATCCAATCTACGAGGCATTCCATTCTGGCTTTCAAGCTTTTGCCATCAAATTGGTCAATTTTTCTTTTTTCTTTTAGTTTGTTTCTATGTTTCTCTTTTCTTTTATTCTTCTCTCTCATTATTCTCTAACTATGTATTTTCCCTGTTTCATGTTACTAAATTTCCTAGTATTCAACTAATTTCATGGGTTCATGCGTTAACATTTTGATTGTTTATTTTGATGGACAGACATCGTTATCATGGCCCTGTGATTGCGATTATAGAGTGCCCTAAAATCCAGTTACTAAAGTCTGGTATACGGGCACTGGAAGAATTTCCATGTGTAGCCATCCCTTCCAATGTTCGTGATAGCCAATATCAGGTGGTGATACGTTCTTTCTCTGAAACTTTATGTGGTTTGTGAAATTTATTTCCATGATTGTTGTTCCAAGTTCTAACATATCTCTATGGCAATCTGTTTGTACAGGCTATTGGTTGGCAGGTAATTGCTGCGAAAATTGGATTACAAAGATGTGCTGCGTCATCACAGTGGTTTAATGAGAGAGTTACACTTTCACGATATGCCCATGTAAAGTTGCTGCATTGATTTCTTGATGATCTCTGTATAGTGAGTGTATCTTTTGTTTAAAATTGATTCATAATGAATAACGTTGTATGAACAGGTTCCAATGGGAAATTTTGAAATTGATTGGCTCATGCATACAGCAGATATCTTCTTGTCTAGAGCATTGCGTGATCAGCAACAGGTTCCTGTGTTTTTCATCTCTAAATTGTAATTGCTTTAGTGCTCCCATTAGCTACTTCTTGACTGTATTTACAGTTTGAGCATGTTTAAACCACCAACAGGTTCTTTGGATATCTGATAATGGCATCCCAGACTTGGGAGGCACTAATGAAGAAGTACCGTGTTTTATAGATGAGGTGATTAGTTTGAACTTGAGATTTATTTTCTTCTTCTGGAGAAGAGTTTCTGTCAATTCCTTTTTTTTTTTTTTTGGTTAAATGAGATAATGGGAGGTATACTTAAGTTATTAGGTATCTGGAGTTAATAACTGTATGTCAAACAGGTCAATCAACCTGTTCTCACTTACCCTGGTGCATATAGGAAGATTACTGTTGAGCTTAAGGTTTAAGTTGCCTTTCTGCTCATTCCCCATCCTCTGTTTTTTGGTTTTCTTATTTTATTTTAATGTATGTAATTAGATTAACTTGGTATTTCTTTCTCTCTTATTTTCAGATCCATCACCTAGCAGTCAATGCACTTCTGAAAAGTAACCAAGTGAATGAAATGGAAGGAGGTGCTTTATTTGGTCTAGACCAGGAAATGAACCCCGCTTCATTTAACTCTGACAAACTGTACTGTTTTGATGAGGAGACATCGTGTGCACCAGCATTTCGTGTTCTTAAACAGTTGATCCAGAGATGCCTTGCTGATGCAGTAACATCAGGAAATGTTTTTGCTGATGCTATACTGCAGCATCTGTACCGATGGCTTTGCAGGTTTCTGAAATTTGTGACTTTTTTCATTGTGTATACAATTGCTTTTACTAACCTCCTTTCTATCAATATTGCAGCCCAAATTCCAAACTTCATGACCCTGCCCTACACCGCATGCTACATAAGGTAATTTCTTTTTGAGGAAACTATGAGGTTGTTGAATTAAAAGGATAACATGGTGAATATGAATTTAAACACTCTATACATGCTAAAATGACGTTCTTCTTCTTGATCTTTCATTTTATTTCTGAAAATTGGTATTCAGCTGACTGCCGTTTAATATGTGAATGGTATTAAATCTGTTAAACGCATCTAATTGTGTGGTTGAAAATCATTACCGGATTGATCCAAGATAAATGACTCAAAGCCTTTCTGTCATCATAAAAACTTTTTCAACGTTGTGCTCATATTAGACAGATAATATTTTCTTGGCAGATTATGCAGAAAGTGTTTGCTTTGCTGATGGCGGAGTTCCGCAAATTAGGTGCAACAGTTGTATTTGCTAGCTTCAGCAGAGTTGTCATTGATACAGGAAAATCTGATGTATCTGCTGCAAAAACTTATTGTGATAGTATACTCAAAACTCTACAGACTAGGTTTGTTTCCTGTGAATCCTAAATGAATCGTTATGGATATTAGTTTTTGGTTTTGTTTTAGGTTATCCTAAGTTCCTTCATTGCAGGGACCTATTTGAGTGGATTGAACTTGAACCTGTCCAGTTTTGGCATTCGTTGCTCTTTATGGATCAGGTTTGTAAGATCCTTCTATTGTTTCAGTCTCCTGTCCATTTCCTTTTAATTATTGACATGAATATCATGCTAAGTTTTATGCTTGTCCCAATTTAATACGGTTAGAGTCTATGTATGCTACATATTGGGTATGTTGTTGTTGTTGTTTGTAGAGTCTTTGTATGCCACTTCTGTAACGAGTTTTGGGTACCGTTTTAAATAAATAATTAAATACATGCATTATTTTACTGAAGGTTCTGGGCAAAAGTTGCTAGGTGAGGCAGGTGAATATTATGACGTAATATTTTTTTTATGTTTTTGTATCACAATCATTTTATCTAAAATCTGGATATAATTAAAGTCTAATCTGGTAATGTTTAATAGCATAGGTGCTTCTTATTANTAACAGCGTAGGTGCCACTTATTACGCTTAAAGCATTTCTTTTAATGAAAAAGAAATCAGAAGCAATCGATCAGCCATCAGCATCATGTTTGCATATTTTTTTATACATGTTTTTCTTTGCTTTTCTTTTTCTGCCGTTACTACATTTTGCTATGCTTATTTCTGTATCCATCAATAAATATCTTCCATTGCATTAAATGGTGGTGAGGGATGCTTCTAAGCTGCTCTGGCATAGGATTTACAATTGAAACAATACTTGGCTAATTCATGGTGAGAAGGATGGGATAAAAGTAGCTGAGAAACTGCATGCAAAATGAACTCTTGTCATTCCTAATAAGCTACATTGGATAATGGAACTAGGATTGTTAAAAAGACATAAGGGTTGTGTACATCTCAAAATTGGTTAGGAACCTCTAAAATTTATGATATGTCGTATGGCATGTTGGCAGTTATCAAGCATTTGGTCGAGCATAGAAAATAATATGATATGAGCTATGTTTGTGTGAATACTAAAGATTTGTCACTCAATTACATTTACATCTCAGTTTTACCAGGGGACAATCTGTTGCTATACAATTAATAAATCTGGTAGTACGAGAATATGCTGGCCAATCCATGGGGTAGCTCTTTCTCTTGACCAGATGCTTACATGCCATTATTGATCAAATCGAAAGGATATTCAAACTTTTGTTCTCTCTATGTTAATGTCGTTGGATGGGAAGCTTTTCTTGGAAAATTCTATCGGTTCCCCCATCTTTTGACAAGCATTGGTTGCATAGCATGTTTTCCTCAATGTGCTGCTTGTGATTTAAGTTATTGAAGGACTGGAGGTGTTTCATTTTTTGTGCTGTATGCTTTTCTTGTTTTCACTAAAATGATAGAATACAAAAGAGGTGCTCACTTTCTGGAAAGGGTCTTTTTTCTGTGTGAATGAATATGTTTGTGTGTCTGTTAGTTTGACTTGTGACAAATTCTTATCTTTCTAATTTCCACTCTACTCTGTTTTGTCAGTACAATTACGGTGGAATCCAAGCTAGATTAGAAGACAGACCCACTGAAGAATCTTCGAGAGCAAGTGTGGAGAACATGCCAGACGACCACCAAGTGGAAATTGTCTCCAGCTGGACTATTGCGGAAAACTTAACCAAAAAAGCCCAGGTAGACCATCCTTCAGTGTAAAAGATTGATGACTTTGACTATTGGTTACTAATCAGAGTCTTGCTTCATTTTCTATCACAACAGTGGCAAACTCAGTGGGTCACAGCGTGACTGTGGTTAACACAAAACTGGCTATTGTTTTTCTTCGAAATCCATGTTCATCCTGTTAAGCTGTGTCCTTTTATTTTACAGGACCACTTCATCATGATTGTTTCTGAGTTCTTGTATTTCCCATGGAAGTTTGCGCAAGAAGAAGCTGGTAAGCGTTCCACGACCACAGGTGACCTATGTACTCCATCAATCACAGCTTCTACTGCGGAAATTCTTGAAACTCAGATGACTGAATTTTTGAAGAAAAAGGTACTATTTAATTTTCATATGTAAGTACATGAATATTCCTCGTTTTTGCTTTAACATTTTGTACAAAAAGAATTAGGACTTCGCTTATTGAATTCTATGCCCTGCAGATTGCGTCCGAGTTTACAGACAAACTTCTTAAGATTGTCTGTGATCCAAGTCTCCATGTAAAAGAAAAAAACAAATCTCAGGGTGATCAAAACATCTCGACTGGAGGTTTGCCATCATTGAATAACATCCATAAGGGAGATTCTGCTCTGGATTTTATCAAGTACGTCTGTGCAGCTTTGGCACTTGACCAGAAAGTTCAGCATGAAGTTCTGGTAAGGAAAAAGCTTTATATTCTCTATGCATAAGAAGCCAAATACTCTACAACTTTTGTTTCCAAGGGAAGCTTATGGAATCAATCTCCTGCAATTTACAGAAATGCTCGTCCTTGTTTCATCTGAGTTGTCATTGTATTACATGAAATCATTAGGAAAAGATCGCCGAAATTCATGGATCATGGGATGTTTATTTTGGGATTTTTTTTTTTCCCTTTTTGTGTCATTTTCTCCAAAAGCAGTTGGGCATTCTTTATTTAAACTTCTTAACATTTTCTGGAAGTTCTTTACAATATAAATTGTCCTCATTAGCAGTTCCACATTGTTCGTATTGTCCACTGTTACCAAGCATCCAAGTTTGTTGTTGAATTATTCTAGTCATTCAATTTAAGGGTTTCATCCTAGTTAAATTCCTCATGTCATGAGCAGAAGAACTGTAATTTTACTTCAGCAAAAGTGGATCTCATTTAGAAATCAACTAGATTGCCTCCCCCTCCCTCCTTTATCTATATTACGATCATTTGCAATTCAAGAGGTCTAGTTTTGATTTACTGGTTTCGAACAGGTCATGAGAAGAAATCTCTTGAAATTGATCCGTGTAAGGGAATTCGCCCCCGAAGCCGAATTCCACAACCAGTTCTCATCATTAACCCTACCGAATGTCATTTGCAGGTGACAACTAATCCCAGTTTTCCATTTTATTGAATTCTTTCCCCGTTCAAATGCTATTATGACCACAGTTAAATTACCCTATGTCCATGTTCTCTCAAAATATCTTTTTTTGTTTTGTTTTGTTTTTTTTGTTTTTTTTTCACAGCTACTGCAAGGACTGCAGGGACCTTGACTTGTGCCGTGACAGGGCCTTAGTCTCCCAGCAATGGCATTGTCCCGTGCCACATTGTGGTCAACCCTATGATCGTGAATTGATGGAGAATTCCCTAATTCAGATTGCACGCCAAAGGGAGAGATTGTACCACCTTCAGGACCTTGTGTGCCTCAAGTGCCACCAGATAAAAGCTGCCCATTTGGCCGAACACTGCACATGTGCTGGCTCATTCACCTGCAAGGAGGACTCATCTGAGTTTCGTAATAAGATGCAGATTATTTTGAATGTGGCGGTTGACCAGAAATTCCAGCTTCTACAAGAATGTGTCTCGTGGATCTTAGAAGTCAGGTAACTCTGACTGATTTATACGAGAGGGAAAAAATCGATGGAGGATCTAAATGACTCTTATGGATGTGACGTGTGTGGTTATTGGTGACCAAAACATGAAAAGCTGGATCAAAGTACAATTTTAATCAATTATACTTTGACAGTGGCAGGTTTCAGGAAGCAAACTGCGGTGTATTGCTATAGACGATATATTGTGAAAGTAGGAACATTTTAGAATCGGCTTAATTCAACTGAGTTATGTTATCTCAGGTTGATGGGTGTAGTTTGTTTAGAGTTCTTGTTGCATGGGGTGAGAGTTAAAAGGATCAAAGTTACTGAAGATAGGTATTGGACTCTTGTGATATATATAGATGTTACTATTTTCATTTTGCATGGCCTGAACTGAACTTCAAGGGGTAAAACCTATATTCGACTTGTTCCTATTGGTCCTCTCGGCTACAATTTTATTTTAACTATTTTTTCTCAATTTGTCCAAAAGCTTGTTACTTATCTCCATACAAAAGCAAATATGCACTTTACTCATTCATTGCCAGAAGTGAGTAATTTGATAATATAAAATAATTTGTCACATCTTTATTGAACAATATTACTCGAGGAATATAATAATTTGTATAAGACATGGTGCTTTTTGTCATGGTGGTGACGGGTTACCTGAGGAGTGAGAAACTTTATTTTATTTTATTACGTTTAATTTTTTTGAGTTTTATTTTTATTTTTTTATTTTTTTTATTATTGGAGTGTTTTAGTCTTTATTATTGATAATTTTTGTTTAACATGTGTTTGTTTTATGTGGTCTGTTCTAGATTATCTTTGAGTAGAATTTTTAAATTCACCTTGATTAGTTGTTTGATTCAACTGTTTTAGTTGTTTTCTAGTTTGTAAGTTAAATATCTATTAATATANTATGAGAAGGTGGCATTTTTTGATCTGCCTATACCCAAGGATAGGCCAAGATATTTTGAGGAAGTCTGAGGATGGATGCCTAGCACGATAGTGCAGATTTGTTGTTGTAGGGCTTGGACTTGAAGTTTTGATCAACTCAAGGAGGCAACAAATATACCTTTTTAGCTTGTATATTAAATGTATGATTTTTTTTCCCGAAACGACAGAGGAAACTATATTAATCTCAAAGCGAACATAGTTTGAATACAAGAGTCTACAAATCGAAACATCAAACTGAGAGATGCGCATAAAGCGATCTAGAACCTCAACAACACAAACAAATCGGAGAAAGAAAAAAAAGAGTTTGACCCCCGCCACTGCTACAAAGCCTAGCAAGAGATCTAACTCAAAACAAGAAAACAAAGCCAAAATAAGGTACAAAGATAATTTAGACTAAAGAAACAACATTTATGAACTCCATCCAATCAGCATGAGCAATCTGAGAAATTTTATTCTCCGGAATTAAAGACTTCTGAAAAATTCACAAGTTCCTCGACTTCCAAAGCCACCAAAGCATATACGTTGTAACACCCCGCTCATCAGAGTAAATTTTTCGCAACTTTTACTTCGAAAATACTTATAAATATTTCGAAATATTTTGCGACTAACTCGGGATGCTACTCAAACTCATCTTCTTGAAAATCTATTTATCTTTAAACTTTTGTCTAATACTTCTTTAGACATAAAGAAAACAAATTTCATTTAAACTTGCATTTAACTGTACCATATTCATAGTTCTCGAAGTGGTATAAACTTGAAATCTAAAATTTATTAAAAATGCAAGTTCAATACTTAATGTGCATAGCGGAAATACTTAAAAACGTGGTTTATTATACAGACATATCAAATACTTAATAAATGTCTACTTGAAATAAGTGCACGACCACCACCACCACATCTCGAACTCACACCTCCGGCCCGACCCTATTACCTGAAAAACACAATCTGATCCTCTTGTACCCCGAAATCGCCCATACTAAAGTAAACAACAATAATAATACAATATCATGATCTTTGGTATATATCTGGACTGGAAATCTGTTCCAGTAACTTAAACTGAATCTGGCCGATATCTGATCGGATACTTGTGCACAATCTGATGGATATTTCTCAAGGCAACTCAAACGGCCTCCATCAGAACTTAGGATATACTTTGAGACAACTGAATGCCTCCTCATTCCAAGCGTATAAACTTAAACTGTATACATACCTCGAACATGATATCAATATTATACTCAATGTAATACCCAGTCTGGGTCCCCACCTTTCTTCTTTTGAAACCTTTTGAAAAATGTAAGTGTTGCTCTTGGGTAGCTATATCTGCAAGCTACATAAAAATATAAACAAATATACTCAGTACTATGCTCGTATACTTAATAAGATTTAACTCTTACTTATCCGAATCTTAAAGATATTCAATAAGCTTAATATGTCTCAAATAAATATTAAGTCATCAAACATCTTAACTTTTTCCAACATCATCAACATGATTTATAAACTCATCTTAATCTTTTACTCAATCAAATACTTGATTCATCATACATCATATCTCCCAAATTTTAAATATTGGTTTATTTTAAATTTTCACTTAATTAACTTGAAAGTGAAAATAAACTCAAGTCATACTTCAACTTTTAATCATAACAATTAATCATGATATTAATATGTCATACTTAATACAATCTTTATGAGATTATATACTCAACATATTAAACTAAAACTTTGCCAAATTGCTCATCACTTATATGAGAATTGATCATAATAATCTCACTTTAATAACTTGATCATATCATGAATATTCTTGCATATATACTCATCTTTACATATATGCCTTGTAATTATCATAACTCATTCATTTCTCATCTTCAAATCATGAAATTTAACAATCATAATCTCAACTCATAATTAGACATGTCATAAAAATTTCATAATTTTAGCATGCATATACATCAAGTTATTAGAATTTAAAGTCATAGTGAACATAAAATTCATCTTGCATGTTCAACTTCAAAAAGTCATAACTCAAGCTATACTTTGCCAAGTCACTCAATTCTTGTTCTCTATGTACTCCTCTTTTACATAAGAATCATTCATTAAATCATACTTTTCCAGCTTATTCATATCTTTATCAACATCTCATCAAATCAAGCACATATATCATATAATTGATCTTGAACAACTTTAACTCTTTGTATTCATAGAATCAATTATAAATTTAACTTCTAAATCATGATATACTTACTTATAAATATGTAAACTCATTATCAAAACATGAACTTAAGCATAAAACTTTAACATAAGTAAATTACCTCCTTCTTGCTAGAATCGTAACTTGATTCTTCACTTCTAAATTCTTCACTTCTTCACAATTTCTATTACTTATCTCTCTTACACTCATATATATCTTTTGGTACTTTTCTTTGGTGTGAGAACTCTGATTTTTAGGCCTCTATTTATAGGCACAATTTGGCAAGACATCATAATGGAGTGAAGAAATGAACAAAATAAACAATTTAAACATATAAACTTAATTAATCATAAATTATTTTATGATTAACTTGTATTCTTATCCAAACATAGATAATCATAAAAAATGGCCTCTATTCATAGCCATGAATGAGCTTTTTGGTAGATAAAACTTATTCCACCAAGTTTAATAAAATTCTCACCAATTGTTGAAAAAAAATGCTAACTTAAAGACTTAGCAAAACTTTGTTGTGATTTTCTCATCTCATTCTCACCAATTGACGACCAAAATTTCGTGCTTAATGTGATGTAACTGATTCCATATATTATTGAAAAAATGTAACCATTCATCATATAAAAATCTTTGGAACAAAATAATAAAAATAATAAAAATCATCCTTTTTTTTATTACTTATGCATTTTCTTTCGAAATGGCTGATTTTTAAAACTCTTTTACTGAAAAGAAATGCTCATATTTGGTCTTGGATCATGCTCATAAACCGAGAATAATACAATTTACGGAACTCAATTCGGACTTAAAACGAACGTTTACCGTAAAAGTGAAAATTCTAAAATTTAAATCCTTTACTCACAGTTTTTCTTCAATTTAATAAACATATTTCTTCTTATGATCTAATATAATTATCTTGAAATATTCTACATTTACGGAACCACATTCGAAATTAAACCGAACGATTACCGTAAAACCGAAAATTCTAAAAATTTCGGTTTCTCTTAAAATAATTTAAATAGACTATAATGTCTAAATAAATTTTCTCACTTCTTTGAACATTTATCACTTAAATGTTCATGGATACTTAACCGCACTTCGAGACTTAACTTGTATCAACTTATGCTAAAGCTCAATATTATGATCTTATCTTGATGACTTGAACACTTAGAAAAATTCTAAGTATTTAGTACTAAGGCTCGGCTATTTCTTAATTAAGTTCAACTCATGACCGAACATACTTGAGTTCAGTTCACTACTTATCTTAAACGATTAATCAAAATATACTCAATTTCGATTATTCGTTATCTTATATTAACTAATCTCGTCTTATACATCCATTTATAAAAATAAACAGACCGGAATTAATTAGTTACTGAACAGGCTCGATTACTGAATAAAATTTAACCGAGAATACTTTCGACTTAAAGTCAAACTTTTAACTGAATAACTTAATAACTGGCTCGGAACTAGGAACGAGCATTATTAATAATAGTAATTAGTTCAACTTAGAATAATTATTTTTATTAATTACTGAATGGGATATTACATACGTAGTAAGTTGAATTCTGGCTTCGGCTACTTCAGAATTGTCAAGAGAACAAATATGATACCACCAAGTCTTAAAAGAATCAGTGCAACACAACAGCCCATCCCACTTCAAAGGACTCAACTGCCATACTGAGATTGCTCTTCTGCAAGTGAAAAAGATGTGTTCAACTGTCTCAGCAGCTTCACCACATAAAGAGCAGGTAGTGTCAAGTTCTACTCCTCTTTTCCTCAAATGTACTGCAACTGGTAGGGTGATAGATAAGCATTTCCAAAGAAAAAGAAGCTCGGCAGGTGATCATTCACTCGGACTCTCAGCTTGTGGTCGAACAAATCAGGGGTGAGTATGAAGCTAAGGAGGAGCGCATGAAAAAGTATCTGGCGGAGGTCCATGCGATGTTAAAGGGATTTGTGACTTGGGAGTTGATACAGATACCACGGGGGGAAAACGGTAGGGCCGACCTACTTTCGAAAATGGCTGCCTCGCTTGTTGATTGTCGGTGTCGCTCTGTCACGCTGATGGATATGACTAGGAGCACCTTAGAACAGGTGCTGGAGGTTGAGGAGCAAAAGGATTGGAGGTCGCCTCTAATACAATGGTTGCAGGAGCCTGTCGCGGGAAAGGATATCAGAGATGACCCGGTCGGGCGACAAGCGTTGAGGTTCTACTTGCAGAATGGGATCCTATATAAACAATCATATATGGGGCCTCATCTCAGGTGCGTCTCTGAACAAGATAGGGAGTACGTGCTTAGGGAGGTGCACAAAGGATGCTGCAGCGACCACATAAAGGCTAGGGCGTTGGTTGGGAAGGTACTGCGGGCCGGATATTTTTTGCCTATAATAAGGACGATGGCGCAGGATCTTGTGCGAAAATGTAAGAAGTGCCAGCAGCATGGTCCACTGATCCATAGGTCGGCGAAAAGTATGGTGCCAATCAGCTCGCCTTTACCTTTTACTCAGTGGGGGGTTGATATAGTTGGACCCTTACCCCAGGCGACGGGCCAGCGAAAGTTCTTGATTGTGGCGGTCGATTACTTCTCCAAGTGGATTGAGGCCTAGCCATTAGCGACGATCACTGAAGAGAGGGTGATAAAAATTTTTTTCAATAATATCTGCTACCAATATGGCATCCCCCGAGTGCTCATATCTGATAATGGCACTCAGTTCAGGGGTCGGCGTACGATGAGTTGGTGCGAGGAGATGGGCATCAAACATAAATTCGCTTCGGTAGCCCACCCCCAGGCAAATGGGCAGGCCGAGGTCGCTAATAGGTCAGTTCTAAATGGATTGAAGGCTAGGTTGGAAAGAGCTTCAGGAGCTTGGGTGGACGAACTTGATTCGGTGCTTTGGTCATATCGGACGACGCCAAGGACCTCGACGGGAGAGACTTCATTTAGCTTGGTTTATGGTATGGAGGCCGTCATCCCGGTTGAGGTCGGCCTCAACTCAGAACGGGTTAGCACCTACACGGAAGAAGGGAATGTCGAGCTCTGGAGGGAGGCACTGGACTTGGTGGACGAATTGCGGGACCAGGCTGGGTTGAGGACAACAGTTTATAAGCAGCGGATGAAGATTGCCCATGACAAGTCAATTCGAGCTCGGCGTTTTCAGGTCGGGGACTTGGTTTGGCGTCAGACGGATGCTTTGAAGCATGTGGGGAAGCTGGAGCCCAACTGGGAGGGACCCTATACTGTTGAAAGGGTATTCGCTGCCGCGAACCTGGAACATATCCCATTTGAAGAAATATTATGCCTAGCTTAAGAAGTGTTATTTACGTTTGTTTCTTATTTGGTTTCATTTGCTTTTGAGTTGGAAATTGTCTCCAGCTGGACTATTGCGGAAAACTTAACCAAAAAAGCCCAGGTAGACCATCCTTCAGTGTAAAAGATTGATGACTTTGACCTATTGGTTACTAATCAGAGTCTTGCTTCATTTTCTATCACAACAGTGGCAAACTCAGTTGGTCATATTGGCTTATTTTAAATTTTAAATATTGGCTTATTTTAAATTTTCACTTAATTAACTTGAAAGTGAAAATAAACTCAAGTCATACTTCAACTTTTAATCATAACATTTAATCATGATATTAATATGTCCTACTTAATACAATCTTTATGAGATTATATACTCAACATATTAAACTAAAACTTTGCCAAATTGCTCATCACTTATATGAGAATTGATCATAATAATCTCACTTTAATAACTTGATCATATCATGAATATTCTTGCATATATACTCATTTTTACATATATGCCTTGTAATTATCATAACTCATTCATTTCTCATCTTTAAATCATGAAATTTAACAGTCATAATCTCAACTCATAATTAGACATGTCATAAAAATTTCATAATTTAGCATGCATATACATCAAGTTATTAGAATTTAAAGTCATAGTGAACATAAAATTCATCTTGCATGTTCAACTTCAAAAAGTCATAACTCAAGCTATACTTTGCCAAGTCACTCAATTCTTGTTCTCATGTACTCCTCTTTTACATAAGAATCATTCATTAAATCATACTTTTCCAGCTTATTCATATCTTTATCAACATCTCATCAAATCAAGCACATATATCATATAATTGATCTTGAACAACTTTAACTCTTTGTATTCATAGAATCAATTATAAATTTAACTTCTAAATCATGATATACTTACTTATAAACATGTAAACTCATTATCAAAACATGAACTTAAGCATAAAACTATAACATAAGTAAATTACCTCCTTCTTGCTAGAATCGTAACTTGATTCTTCACTTCTAAATTCTTCACTTCTTCACAATTTCTATTACTTATCTCTCTTACACTCATATATATCTTTTGGTACTTTTCTTTGGTGTGAGAACTCTGATTTTTAGGCCTCTATTTATAGGCACAATTTGGCAAGACATCATAATGGAGTGAAGAAATGAACAAAATAAACAATTTAAACATATAAACTTAATTAATCATAAATTATTTTATGATTAACTTGTATTCTTATCCAAACATAATTAATCATCAAAAATGGCCTCTATTCATAGCCATGAATGAGCTTTTTGGTAGATAAAACTTATTCCACCAAGTTTAATAAAATTCTCACCAATTGTTGAAAAAAAATGCTAACTTAAAGACTTAGCAAAACTTTGTTGTGATTTTCTCATCTCATTCTCACCAATTGACGACCAAAATTTCGTGCTTAATGTGATGTAACTGATTCCATATATTATTGAAAAAATGTAACCATTCATCATATAAAAATCTTTGGAACAAAATAATAAAAATGGCTGCCTCGCTTGTTGATTGTCGGTGTCGCTCTGTCACGCTGATGGATATGACTAGGAGCACCTTAGAACAGGTGCTGGAGGTTGAGGAGCAAAAGGATTGGAGGTCGCCTCTAATACAATGGATGCAGGAGCCTGTCGCGGATATCAGAGATGACCCGGTCGGGCGACAAGCATTGAGGTTCTACTTGCAGAATGGGATCCTAAATAAACGATCATATATGGGGCCTCATCTCAGGTGCGTCTCTGAACAAGATAGGGAGTACGTGCTTAGGGAGGTGCACGAAGGATGCTGCGGCGACCACATAAAGGCTAGGGCGTTGGTTGGGAAGGTACTGCGGGCCGGATATTTTTGGCCTAGAATGAGGACGATGGCGCAGGATCTTGTGCGAAAATGTAAGAAGTGCCAGCAGCATGGTCCACTGATCCATAGGTCGGCGAAAATAATGGTGCCAATCAGCTCGCCTTTACCTTTTATCCAGTGGGGGATTGATATAGTTGGACCCTTACCCCAGGCGACGGGCCAGCGAAAGTTCTTGATTGTGGCGGTCGATTACTTCTCCAAGTGGATTGAGGCCTAGCCATTAGCGACGATCACAGAAGAAAGGGTGATAAAATTTTTTTCCAATAATATCTGCTACCGATATGGCATCCCCCGAGTGCTCATATCTGATAATGGCACTCAGTTCAAGGGTCGGCGTACGATGAGTTGGTGCGAGGAGATGGGCACCAAACATAAATTCGCTTCGGTAGCCCACCCTCAGGCAAATGGGCAGGCCGAGGTCGCTAATAGGTCAGTTCTAAATGGATTGAAGGCTAGGTTGGAAAGAGCTTCAGGAGCTTGGGTGGACGAACTTGATTCGGTGCTTTGGTCATATCGGACGACGCCAAGGACCTCGACGGGAGAGACTCCATTTAGCTTGGTTTATGGTATGGAGGCCGTCATCCCGGTTGAGGTCGGCCTCAACTCAGAACGGGTTAGCATCTACACGGAAGAAGGAAATGTCGAGCTCCGGAGGGAGGCATTGGACTTGGTGGACGAATTGCAGGACCAGGCTGGGTTGAGGACAGCAGTTTATAAGCAGCGGATGAAGGTTGCCCATGACAAGTCAATTCGAGCTCGACGTTTTCAGGTCGGGGACTTGGTTTGGCGTCAGATGGATGCTTTGAAGCCTGTGGGGAAGCTGGAGTCCAACTGGGAGGGACCCTATACTGTTGAAAGGGTATTCGCTGCCGCGAACCTGGAACATATCCCATTTGAAGAAATATTATGCCTAGCTTAAGAAGTGTTATTTACGTTTGTTCGCATTTGGTTTCGTTTGCTTTTGTTTTTTCAGCAAGACCAATAATGAGATTGCTTTTGAAGTTTTATCAGTTTGATTCTTCTCTTGTATGGAATGTGTTAGGGCGAAAACCTGTCAGTCTCACCTAAGCTCGCGGAGCTAGGCGACGACATTCGTAGGACGAAAGCCTGTTAGTCTCACCTAAGCTCGCGGAGCTAGGCGACGACCTTCGTAGGGCGAAAGCCTGTTAGTCTCACCTAAGCTCGCGGAGCTAGGCGACGACCTTCGTAGGGCGAAAGCCTGGTAGTCTCATCTACGCTCGCGCAGCTAGGCGAAGACCTCTATAGTTTGCAAGGCGGCCGCGTGAGGTTAGGTAAGCGAGTCTTAATAGACTTAGCAATAATTGTGCTAGGTGCAAAAGCCCATTATCACGATGCTAAGTATTTGATAGACTTGGTGAATGAAGTTCGTCATGAAAGGAGAGATATTGATGCTCGTGTAGTGACGAATTATTTAAGTATGCGACAATTGACACAAGTAACGACAAAATGTAAAACGTCGCATTAAAGCATAGTTCTTAGAAGTTATAAGAGACAAAACGTGTTCCATTGGACATACCAAAACAAATGACTAATCGAGTTCAAGGTTACATGCCAAAATAACAGGAGTTCGTTCAACACATCTACTTCAACACAAAAGGAAATCAAACAACTCTAAGGAGGTGGCGCGCCGTAGATCTTCTCTACCTCTGCCCCGATCTTTTTCGCAACAGTAGTCACGGCAGCCTCCAAAGCCCCATCCCACCAAGGATGGTCCGGGGGAAGAGACTTGTCGCCGTTCCATCCAGATGGGGTAGGGACGCCTTTCAGCAGCACACCCTCATCTACGGAGATGGTGAAGCCTTGCTTCTCCGCCTCGGCTTGGGTACGAACGACCCCCTCATGGAAGTACTCACGTAAGGCTATGCCCATTCGCCGGAGGGACGCTACGGAGTCATGGTAGTATGACAGCAGCTTGGACCGGAAGCACTCGATGAAGTGTTGTCCTACATCCGATGATAGGAAAGATCCTTGGCCATCCCTTTCTGCCTGAGCGACGCGCTCATCAGCTTCCTCTCGAAGCTTTTTAAGCTCGGCGTCTTTGGCTTTGAGCTCGGCGCATTTAGCTTTAAGCTCGGCCTCTTTAGCTTGGAACTCGGCTCGGAACTTCTGCGTTTTGATCTTTTGACGATCGAGGGCCTTTTGAAGGTCGGGAAGTCGCTCCTCGCCCTTCTTCACCTCGTCCTTGAGGGATTTCACCTCTTCATCCTCGTCCTCCAACTGCTCGTCGAGAAGGGGAGCTATGCCGGCTAGAGCCTGTTTGGGATGGGGTTAGATTTGCGTAGATTTTACAAAAGTTGTTTATTAAAGGTGTAAGTTAAGTGTGATAGAGTCATACCAGACCAAGGTTGTAGGTGATCGTCTCGGCTCGACTCTTTTTGGTGGGCCATTGCGTTGTCTCGCCCTTTGGAAAAATGTCAAGGAGGTAAGAGCTGTGATAGAGTCATACCAGACCAAGGTTGTAGGTGATCGTCTCGGCTCGACTCTTTTTGGTGGGCCATTGCGTTGTCTCGCCCTTTGGAAAAATGTCAAGGAGGTAAGAGCTGGTCACCGATACGTCCTTGTTCCCGGAAAACCGAGTTGGCTTCTTGGCCCGCAGGGAGTCGGTGGTCAGCTCGACGCCTTGTGCCGATGTGTTCCCCTCTTTAGGGCAAGTCTTCTTACGCTTGAAGGACCTCGTCGGATGCTCACGGTAGACCCGGCGCTCGGGGACCTTGTCCAGGGGAAGGTTGACCACCTCCTGCGCTGGCGCTTTGGGGGGAGTAGGCGCTGCTTCTGAGGACGGGCAGCGCAGGTCTGGAGAAGTTCCGCTGCACGACAAATACAAGGAAAGGCAACAAACAAAAAACATAAGTAAACAAGTTATGTGAGTAGAACTAGCATAAAGGAAAGAGTAGGCGATATGACGAGAACTTGTGGCGTCGAGGCCTACCTATGTCGCTCACGGGGTCGGCGGCACAGTCGACAGCTGGAAGTGCCGAAGGAGTCGGTCATTGGTGGTCAGCTTCACCACGTGAAGGGGGCTCTTATTCCATTGGGCGATGAGGGTGTCATATTTGGTGTTCCGTCTTGGTTTCTTTAGTTGACCAGGTAGCTTGTCCAGCCACTCAGATTGGAGGTCGAAAATTTTGGAAGGGGTCGGCGTACAATGAGTTGGTGCGAGGAGATGGGCATCAAACATAAATTCACTTCGGTAGCCCACCCCCAGGCAAATGGCAGGCCGAGGTCGCTAATACGTCAGTTCTAAATGGATTGAAGGCTAGGTTGGAAAGAGCTTCAGGAGCTTGGGTGGACGAACTTGATTCGGTGCTTTGGTCATATCGGATGACGCCAAGGACCTCGACGGGAGAGACTCCATTTAGCTTGGTTTATGGTATGGAGGCCGTCATTCCGGTTGAGGTCGGCCTCAACTCAGAACGGGTTAGCACCTACACGGAAGAAGGGAATGTCGAGCTCCGGAGGGAGGCATTGGACTTGGTGGACGAATTGCGGGACCAGGCTGGGTTGAGGACAGCAGTTTATAAGCAGCGGATGAAGGTTGCCCATGACAAGTCAATTCGAGCTCGGCGTTTTCAGGTGGGGGACTTGGTTTGGCGTCAGACGGATGCTTTGAAGCATGTGGGGAAGCTGGAGCCCAACTGGGAGGGACCCTATACTGTTGAAAGGGTATTCGCTGCCGCGAACCTGGAACATATCCCATTTGAAGAAATATTATGCCTAGCTTAAGAAGTGTTATTTACGTTTGTTCGCATTTGTTTTCATTTGCTTTTGTTTTTTCAGCAAGACCAATAATGAGATTGTTTTTGAAGTTTTATCAGTTTGATTCTTCTGTTGTATGGAATGTGTTAGGGCGAAAACCAGTCAGTCTCACCTAAGCTCGCGGAGCTAGGCGACGACATTCGTAGGGCGAAAGCCTGATAGTCTCACCTAAGCTCGCGGAGCTAGGCGACGACCTTCGTAGGGCGAAAGCCTGTTAGTCTCACCTAAGCTCGCGGAGCTAGGCAACGACCTTCGTAGGGCGAAAGCCTGGTAGTCTCATCTACGCTCGCGCAGCTAGGCGACGACCTCTATAGTTTGCAAGGCCGTCGCGTGAGGTTAGGCAAGCGAGGCTTAATAGACTAAGCAATAATTGTGCTAGGTGCAAAAGCCCATTATCACGATGCTAAGTATTTGATAGACTTGGTGAATGAAGTTCGTCATGAAAGGAGAGATATTGATGCTCGTGCAGTGACGAATTATTTAAGTATGCGACAATTGACACAAGTAACGACAAAATGTAAAATGTCGCATTAAAGCATAGTTCTTAGAAGTTATAAGAGACAAAACGTGTTCCATTGGACATACCAAAACAAATGACTAAGCGAGTTCAAGGTTACATGCCAAAATAACAGGAGTTCGTTCAACACATCTACTTCAACACAAAAGGAAATCAAACTACTCTAAGGAGGTGGCGCGCCGTAGATCTTCTCTACCTCTGCCCCGATCTTTTTCGCAACAGTAGTCACGGCAGCCTCCAAAGCCCCATCCCACCAAGGATGGTCCGGGGGAAGAGACTTGTCGCCGTTCCATCCAGATGGGGTAGGGACGCCTTTCAGCAGCACACCCTCATCTACGGAGATGGTGAAGCCTTGCTTCTCCGTCTCGGCTTGGGTACGAACGACCCCCTCATGGAAGTACTCACGGAAGGCTATGCTCATTCGCCGGAGGGACGCTATGGAGTCATGGTAGTATGACAGCAGCTCAGACCGGAAGCACTCGACGAAGTGTTGTCCTACATCCGATGATAGGAAAGATCCTTGGCCATCCCTTTCTGCCTGAGCGACGCGCTCATCAACTTCCTCTCGAAGCTTTTTATGCTTGGCGTCTTTGGCTTTGAGCTCGGCGTCTTTAGCTTTAAGCTCAGCCTCTTTGGCTTGGAACTCGGCTCGGAACTTCTGCGTTTTGATCTTTTGATGATCGAGGGCCTTTTGAAGGTCGGAAAGTCGATCCTCGCCCTTCTTCACCTCGTCCTTGAGGGATTTCACCTCGTCATCCCCGTCCTCCAACTGCTCGTCGAGAAGGGGAGCTATGTCGGCCAGAGCCTGTTTGGGACGGGGTTAGATTTGCGTAGATTTTACGAAAATTGTTTATTAAAGGTGTAAGTTAAGTGTGATAGAGTCATACCAGACCAAGGTTGTAGGTGATCGTCTCGGCTTGACT